GCTGGGTCTTAAGAGCCTGGACGCAGAGCTGATCAACTTGAAGCCTTTATCCCCCGGAGATCCCTTCTCCCAGCCCAGCTCTAATCAAGCCTCGTGGTTCTTCAGATCACCCAGCAAATAGGTCAAATAGGTGCTAAATTTTATTCATAGTGATGTACTAAGAACTACATCAAGACCAGTAGTGTGGTGTGTGTGAATTAAGTTAATTTTATTCAGTCCCTTGGGGCTAGCTAATTGGCATGAAGAATATTAAAAATAGCTTTCCCCAGAGAAATTAGAGTTTAAGATATGTGGTTTATTTGGGAACACCAATGTGATGACTGATTCAGGCTAGGATAATTGATGGGTGCTAGACCCCTGGGTGAAAGTGGTGGGTGACAGGGTATTCACAGTCTCAGAGCATCGTCCCACAGATTGCTCTTTAACTACAAAGAGAAAAGGATACCTAATGGTGATGAAATCCGGCAGACACCAAATAAACAAGTTACTACCACCAGTAATGGGACAAAGTGACATTTTGTGTCTCCTAGGTGAGGAAGATGCATTATCAGGATAGCGTTCTTGCCAAAAATGTTTAGCCTAAATCCAACCATGGGGAAATAATTAGAGAAGTTTAAATTATAGAGTATTAGGCAAGACAACTGATCCGGGCTATTCAAAATTATCCAGTACCCCAAAATTTTTTTAAAAGCTTAAATTAAAACTAAATAAATTAATAGGCATGATAACTAAATGCAATGAATACTTGATCGAATCCTAGATTTAAAGTAAATAGACATAAAGGGTATTGATAGAACAATTGAGGAAATTTGAATTTGATTATAGACTGTATATTAGGAACTATATCAATGCTAAATTTCTTAAACATGATAATTGTGGTTATGTAGGAGAATGTCATTGCTCACAGCGGATTGTATTTAAGGTGAAGTAGTTAAGGACAAAGCATAATAATGTTCCAATTTACTTTCAGGTAGTTTAAAAAAAGATATATGTGCATAAATCCAAATGTTCATCACCGGATGAATGGATAAAAAATGTGGTATGCCCATGAAATGGAGTATTACACAGCCTCAGAAAACAAGGAAACCCTGTCCCAACATGGATGAACCTCAGGGCCATTAATGCTTAGTGAAATAAACCAGCCACAAAAGGACAAATACTGCATGTTCCCACTCATGTGAGATGTCTCAAGTAGCCAAATCATAGGAATAGAAAGTCAGAAGGTGGTTGCCTGGGCTGGGGAGAGAAAAGAAGGCAAATTAGTTAAATTGTTTAATGGGTGTAGTTTCAGCTTTACAAGATGAAAACGTTCTAGGGACCTGACACACAACAATGTGAATACTCAAACCTACTGAGCTGGACACTTAAAAATGGTTATGATCATAAATTCAACATGATATGTTTATAGCCACCATTAAAAATAGAATCAAAATTTTAAAATATGTATGCTTGTATGTTGGTAACTTCTATATGTATGTATGTAAATATATGCATATATTCTTTTTTAGAGAGGAAGAAAAATAGGCAAAGCAAATGTGGGAAATGTTAATAATTACGAATCTGGGTGGAGGATAGATGGATGTGTTTTGATAGTATCCTTTTACTTTTTCTAAAAAAAAAAAAAAAAAAAGGAGGTAGAGGGTAATCTGTGCTTCACTTAGAACCATGTGACAGGGTTCATGGCCCCTCCACAAATAAAGTATTTTAAAAAAGTCATGCACACCCAAAAGTTCACGTGGAGAGAGGATGCTGAGCCCAGGTCACTTGGGCCCATTTCTCTCTGCTTTGTGGGAAAGTGTGCCGGTCCTGCTGTGAGCAAGTACCTGCTTTGGAGCGAGGCTTCCGTTCCAGTGCAGTCAGTGTGCATGTGCCTGGCGACAGAGACCCCTCCGCACTCCGGACCCACCGACGTGCCTGCGAGCCAGGACAGGGCTGCACAGCTGCTGGCGTTGGTCTGAGACCTGCCCCGTAAACAGCACTCCGGCCCCGCGAGGCTGCGTGGGTGGAGAGGGAGGCGGCCCCTCCGCACCTGCTTCTCACACCACTCACCAAAAATAATCCGACACTCGCGTCACGTCGGTTGGCGGCAACGGGACACCAGCTGCGGAATGTGCACCTCTCAAACCCAAAGAGGAACAGAATGATGCGACGCAGGGTGAAGGGAGCGACTTGTGGAACAGTATTTCGGAACGATAAATGTGTAAGAGGGAAAGAAAAAAAAGGGAGGATGGAGAAAGAGAGGGATGTGTGGGGAGGGAGAGAAGAGGGGAAGGTGGGGAAAGGAGTGAAGAGAAAAAGAAAAGTAAGAAAGGGAAGCAAAGGGAAGGAAAGAGAAAAAAAATGAAATGAAACCCTTATATTACATTTTTATGTATACATATAAATACACACACACACATACAGAAATCTGAAACGATATATATTAAAGTATTAACAGTGATTATTCTTAGAGTATTCTTAGAGAAGGTAAGGATAAGATTTTCACCGTTTTTCCTTCTTTTTCTTATATGTTATATAAATTTTCCAAATTAGTCTACCTTAATTTGAATTTTCTTTCAATGAAGAAAAATTAAAGCAAAGGACTATTTAGGGCAGGGGGCTTATCCCTTGAAGGAAAAGGGCTGCTGCTGTCTTTTCTAGTAAACAAAGGCGAAGTGCAGTCCAGGTCAGAGGCCAACAAACGGGGGGTCAGGACCTGCCCCTGGTTTCTATAAATAAGGTTGTGTTGCTACACTGTGTTACCAACGGCAGAGTCCCACAGCCGTGACAGAAACCAGACAGCCTGCAAAGCCAAAAATGTTTATGACCTGGCCCTTTTCAAAAGACATTTGCCAACCCTGTTTCTAGATTCATGTTTACCTCTGAAATGGGAGTTATACAACCTGCATCAGAACACTGACCCAGAAATTCAAACTCTGAGCGGAAGGGTCAATGGCAAGTTTTTTTCATCAACTCTAGAAGTTTAAATCAGCGAATGCCACCTCATCATTAAGACCCTCTTTATTCACCCAGTGTGAGTAGCCCTTAACACTGTCCTGTCTGTCATTCTCCGTAGATTTTCTTCACAGAGTTTATCACCATCTGATATCATTACTTTCTTGTTTGTGTGCATTGGCCTCCATCATCAGAACAGGAATCTTCTCGATCTTATCCATCACTCCGTCTCCAGTGCCTACAATGCTGCCGGGCACAGAAGGAGCACCCAATAGCATTTGATGCATGGATGAATAAATCTGTAATTCAGTGGCAAAATTTTCAAATTGGGGTGAGGAGAGATGAAGATGAAGTCTTATAGCAACAGGAAGCAGACTCCAAAGGTAAAGAAAAAGAACAATCAATGAACAGTCTATGAACACACTTTAAAGGTTGAACTACGCTGCTTAGTAACGGCGTACAAGTGACTCTTCTATCTTCCAGTCGAATTCCAAACTAATACGGAGACCTGTCTCCCTGGGGAAAGACTACAGTGAAATGCAACAGTGTCGGGAGTGGGGTGCAGGTGTGTTATTATGTTTATTTGTCTGAGGCAGGTCCCAGAGGTCTTTATCTCATGAGCAAAATGGGAAGATATAGGGAATTCACCCAAGCCTGTTCCTTTTTGGGGGTTTAGGAGCAGTCAGTGACTCTGGGGAGAAAGGAAATAGCAGAGGACCCAAGTGGAAACTCCAGCCTTTCTCTGGTTCCTTTTGCATCATAAAGCTACCAGGTGGGACCCAACAAATCCCAAAGCACAGCCCACTCCCCTCGACATACACAGCTGACAGAGGGGGGTAGACTAGGAAACAGTGTCCAAGAGGAGCCTGTGCCAGCGAGAATCACAGTCCTGGCCCAACAAGAAGGTTCCATGGCTCTCTCTTTCCCTTTATGTCCCTCTGAGGGCGAAGGGGATTTTCAGATGCCATTCCCAGCCACTTACAAGCAGCCCCCTGCACCCTATCTCCCTTCTAAAGGGAGTGGATACTAAGGAGAGTTGCTTTGCCAGGCAAAGGAATAGATGGGAACATGAGGGACTGGAGACCTTGAATGAGATGAGATTGTTTTGCTTAAGAACACGGAGAAAAAAGATAAAGAAAATGTGAAACCTTTCCCCTTTGGAAAGAAAGTATAATATATATGTCTCATGGGAATTTTTGTTAGGTTTTGCCATAGATAAAACTATCTCTGCAGGACACAGAGAACTTTTCAGTCTCCCCAAGAAATTTTCGGTAAAATTGTCATTATTCATTAATCCTTTGTTGGCATCAGGCTTGCTTTATGGGAAATGATAACAAAGTTCCTGCCTCAAGGTGGGTGTAGGGTCAAGAACAGAGATCAGTGGTGCCCAGTCACATCTGAGTTACAAGAATAGCCTATTGTGTTCCGCAGCCCTGGAGTTCTTATCTCTGCCGAGATGAAATGCAGAAAAAAATGTGCAACCTTGAAAGACAGAGCCCCATTCACTCTCCTAGGTGAAACCAAAATACCTTGTTCTGTTTTAGAAACAAATTAACTCCCAGTGGCTAGCAGATACCAAAGGAGGACAACCCCCCATTCAAAGGTAAATTAATCCTTTGTACAAATAAACAAACTTGAATACCAAGACTAGTGTGAACCATTTAAAATTTCCCCAAACTTTGTACAATATGCCCCATTCTCTCAGATGAACAAACTCATTGATTGTCTAAAACAACCTGCATCTATAATCCCAGGAGCCTGGATTTTTCCCTTAACTATTTCACAGCAGCTCCTTCTCCAGGCAGATAACGCTGCACCTGATGAGTTTCCAGCCAGAAAGTGGAAAACTTACACATCCAAATTTGCAGTTTACAATCTCTAGGGAATCCAATTCAGAAATCCCTATTTTTATCATCTCTAGGTGTCTGCTGCTTCTTCCTGCCGCATCAGTGTCTCTCATCTACGGCTTTCCCCCATGGGTGATGTGGTATTTATACCATCTCAGTGACTGATTTGAACCTCCAGGAAATGCACACACACACACAAAAAAAAATGTACAGATTTACCTTTTCCCTCGGAGCCTGGATTCCCTACTCTTTCTTTCCATCCAGATTTAGCAGTCCCCATTTCAGTGATCCATCTGGATTCAGACCAGACTTAGCCAGCACTGGCTCCAAGTTTTTAGCAGTCTCCTCTTTCTCCCTTACTTAAGTCAGGTGGTCCTCGCGCCTTCTTTCCATTTGTTGCTGGGGTGGAGGAGAGTGGAGTAGGAGGGCAGCAGAGTACGTACATGAGAGTGGAAAAAAATTTAGACATACCAAAGGTTATAAAGTGAAAGTCCCACCCCTACTCCCCTGGCCCAGGAAAATCACCATTAACATTTTGCCATATGCTTTATAGACCTTTATATATATAAAGGTTATACATACACACACACACACACACACACACACACGCGCGCCAGGCACATGCACACACATGCATGCATGCACACACAGGATCATATTGGATATTTGGTTATATGACTTGCTTTTTTTCACTTGTTCTATATATTCATTCATTCTGAACACATTTAATGAGCAGCTATTCTGTTCCAGTGCCTTTTAACCCCTGGGAACACATCCGGGAGCAAAACAGACAATTCCTGCCCTCACAGAGCTTACATTCTTGTAGAAAAGACAGACAAGAAACACTAACCACATGGTATTTCAGAGGATAATAAATGCTATAAAAGGGGAAGAGGGAAGATTGGGAGTGGGATATTGCTGGTCAAATAAGATCCGGAAAGGTCTTTCTAATGAGATGACATTTGAGTGGAAACCTGGGATTCAAGTCACTTGGGGAAGCTGGAACTGGCAAGAGGAGCTGCAAGAAATGACAAGGGGTGGGCAGGCAGGAAAGATCAAGGAGGGCCTTGCAGGCCACAGGGGAAGTCTTTTATTCTGAATGAAATGGGTGCTGAGCGCAGCCATGCTCCTGGTGTTGCTCATGGCCTTTCCAGACCACTTTTCCTTGCCCTACCAGCCTACCTTAAAATTTTTTAAATCACTCTCATGTCATCAGACTCTACCCACCACCACCACCAGCCTCCTATGACTGTCACCTGCAGCCCCAAGTCTCTCCTCTTTTGTAGAGAATGTAGCTCCACGGTGTGGACCAAAGTTCCGGTTTTTCACTATGACAGACAGGTCCCCAACAAAACTGAGTCCTTCTTTGACTGGCTACAAGGGGAAGAACACTTCTGTATTAAATACTCTTTATGTCTTTCGGGACATTTTGTTTTCTCCAGATGTCCCCAAGGCGACCGGGAAAAGCTCCTCGGAGTTGCACTGATTTCCATCTGCTTTCCTCACCGTCGCCACAAGGGGTGCTGTGGAAGCATTCGGCCAGCTCCACACCTGGGCACACCTGGAAGAATAAGGCAATAAATAAACGCTCCGCAAGCAATTCTGGACCAGTGAGGTTGGGAGCTGGAGTATACACCCTCCTTGCCTTCATCTAGATTGCACTCAGACTTGATCAGTTCCACAAAGAACACCTTTTGATTGGCTTTTCCAGTCCTTCACTCCTGTTCCTTGGGCTTCCTTCACAAAATAATAACCCAGATCAAAAAAAATAAATAAATAATAATAGGTAAACACCTGAAGAGAGACTTCACAAAAAGGACACCCAGATAGCCAAAGAGTATATGAAAACGGCGCTCAACGTCAATAGTCATTAGAGAAATGCAAATTTAAACCACAATGAGATACCATTGTTCACACACAAAATAGCTATAAACAAAAGGTTGTTGTTGTTTTTTTTTAACTGACAATGCCAACTGTTAGCATACATGTATAGCAACTGGATCACTCATATACTGCTAGTGGGAATATAAATGGGTAAAAACACCTTTGAAAACAATTTGACAGTATGTATTAAAACTAAACATGTGCATACCTTATAACCTAGAGATTCCTCTCCTAGGTATACACCTAACAAAAAGACGCATGTGCCAAAGGAAACATACAAGAATGTTCACGGCATCGTTATGCATAAGTAGTCCAAAACTGAAAACAACTCCAATGGCCATCTAGAATAGAATGGATAAATAAATTGTGGTACACGTTATGCAGCAAATGAAAGGGAACAAAGTGCTGCTATATGCAACCAAATGATGACTCTCACAAACACAATGTTCAGTGAAAGAAGTGAGTCACAAAGTTCAGACACTGTATGAGTCCACTTATGTGAAGTTGAAAAACAGGCAAAGCTAACTCATGACAATAGAAGGCCAAGTAGTGTTTACCTTTGGGGGAATAATGATTAGGAGCGAGTACAAGGGAGGTTTGGGTGTGTGTAATGAGTGGTAATTACAGAGTGGTCATGCTGTACACATTCATTCAGTTGTGCACTTAAGATTTATGCACTTTAGGCCGGGCGCGGTGGCTCGAGGCTGTAATCCTAGCACTCTGGGAGGCCGAGGAGGGCGGATTGCTCAAGGTCAGGAGTTCGAAACCAGCCTGAGCAGGAGCGAGACCCTGTCTCTACTATAAATAGAAAGAAATTAATTGGCCAACTAATATATATGGAAAAAATTAGCCGGGCATGGCAGCGCATGCCTGTCATCCCAGCTACGTGGGAGGCTGAGGCAGCAGGATTGCTTGATCCCAGGAGTTTGAGGTTGCTGTGAGCTAGGCTGACGCCATGGCACTCACTCTAGCCTGGGCAACAAAGTGAGACTCTGTCTCAAAAAAAAAGAAAAAAAAAGATTTATGCACTTTATTATACATGCATTACTTCCATTTTTAAAAACTGTTTTACAAAGCCAATCAAAGGAGGGTGCCTTTCAGGTAATAGAAACTTTTTGTATTGTTTATGAATTTTGGCTAAAACTCCAAGCAAAGGACAATTAGTAGTAAGCATCTCCAAATTCTAAGAAAGAGCTACTATATATAACACATTCCTTCATGACTTTTTCAAAGGCAGCCTATGACCATTTACTAATCACTCACCTTCAGGCTACATTAAAAAATAGAGTAGATACTTGAGGGACTGTCATTGAATTTGGGGAGTTCTTGGGAGGAGGGATCCCTTAGAAGAGAGTGCTCTATCCCCCTGAGCCCATGAGAAAGGCTCAAAGAGAAGCTTTCATGGAGATGGAGGTTCCCACAAGAAAGTGAAAGAGACGTCTCCCTTCCCACATGGGTTCTCACTCTGCTGGGTCTAGGTGCTGCCATAATACAGAGCAGAGTATAGTGAGGAGATTCCAGGAGAACTTGACATAAATCTCCTGGGGTTTGGAAGCATCTAAGAACAGAGACTGAAACCTCCTTACCTTGAGAACTCTGAACATGGGAGGCTAGTTCTAACAGGACAGAAGGAGAGAGAGGGTAGCTCTCTGTTTGCATCGCTGGTATGGCAGGAATATGTGAGTTTCCTTAGGCCAAGGCAAACTTGATCCATCTTGAAGGCCACCTGCCCATTAGAGCTATCTTCTAGGCAAAAGGATCTCAGCAATAAGAATTTGTAGGTGAACAAAAGAGCAAGACCTAAAGGTGGGTCAGACAAGGTCAGCAACAGCAAAGAGTTCCCACCAGGGCGTGTGTGGTGGGGAGATTCAGGGCCTCCTGAAGACCACACCCCTGGCTCCCTATGAGAGACCAGTACTCAAATGCCTGCCATGCGGATGTCATTGGTGCATGGATTAAAACAGCACCAATTCGGGAAAACTTTGGCCAGTCTTCCACATCCTTGTCTCACAGCCAACCCTCCAAAGGAGAGGACCCAGGCGGGAGAAGGAGGGAAAGTGTGGGGCATGCTCTCTTCTCCACTTCAAGTCCAGGAAAGATATAAAGCTTTAAATCTGTTATGAGACTGAGATTCCGAGTTAGACTAAATGCCTCAATACCTATAATAGATAATATCCAAAGTCTCCAAAGATACCTTCCATCAGTTCCTTCTTTCCCTGTGTGCACAGGCTGCTCCTCACACCAGCCTTCTTCAGTTTGCTAAGTCTCATTTTGTGGCTGGACATATAATCTATCCTGGGGAATGTTCCATGTGCTCTTGAGAAGAATGTGTATTTTGCTATGGTTGGATGGAATGCTCTGTAAATGTCTGTTGGGTCTATTTGGTCTAAAGTGTTAGATCTGATGCCTTCTTATTGATTTTCTATCCGGGTGATCTGTCCAACTATTCACCTCCAAAGAGGAGACTCTAGTGCATAGCGTATTTCAACTCCTTCACCTGCATCTCAAATACAAACATCACACTGGCCATGTGAAATATCCCCACAAGCCAAAAGTCAAGGAAATGGGAAGTACACTCAACCTTTCTGAGATAAAAAAAAATGAAAATGTAGAAAGTACGTAGTAAAGACTATGGCTTTGCCCAAAGAGAGGGCTGGCCTTAACCTCCGCTTCTGGGCAGTGATCTGTGTTATATCTCACATGATGTCTTTGTTTAGGCTGGGGCTGGCCACATTGAGCAGTCTTAGGGTGGGGGCTAGCCACACCAGGAAGACCACCCATGTGATGTCAGGTGAGGCCTTTGGATCATGGGGCATCAGGCAATCTGGAGATTGAGTTCAAACATATGCATAATAAATCAATCCATCACACTTACATGATAAAGCCCCAGCAAAAACTCTGGACATTGAGGCCCAGGTGAACTTCCCTGGTTGGCAATACTCTTGTCACTATCAATACGAAGAGAGTAATGTGCCCTGAGGACTTCTGAGGGTTTGCAGGCGGAGCCCTCCCAGTCTGCCTTATACATCTCTTCCTTTGGTTCATTTTGTTATAATCTGTATCCCTTCTCTGTAATAAACAATAGCCGTGAGTTAAAGTTTTCTGTGAGTCCTTCTAGGGAATGATCAAACCTCAGGGGGATTTTGAGAACCCCCTAAAACTTGCACTTAGTATCAGAAGGGAGGAAGGTCTTGTATGTTCTCTTCCCTCTCACTTAGTAGTTGGGTCCTAACCCCTGCAGCTGGTATCAAATGACTTAGACGGTGCTATGTGGAGACTACGTCTTCTAACTGTAGAGTTTACTGAATTCTTACAGTTGGCCTAAACTCATAGAAAGGAGAATGGATACAGAAAGAAGGGGAGAATTGGAGCCAATAATCTATCCCCTTTGAGTCCTTG